CTTGATGGACTTCATCAGTGGCACGTTGTGCTCGTAAAACTTTTCGGCCACACCATAGTTTACATTCATATTCTGGCTGGCGTATTCCTCGGGCAGCCGCCACAGATAGAGCTCAAAGAATTTCTGGCAGACAATTGGAAATAGGGCGTGTCTGATGTCCATGTTGGCCAAGAGCTGCGCGTATTTGTAGATGACCAGATGCTGCACCGGAAAGACAGTCGTCTTGCTGAGCGACAGAGTTTTCTTAAGGGCAGCCTCCACTGTTTGCGTGGATAGCTGGCGTAAGAATTCTGGCCAAAAGCGAGTATCCTGCAGCCTGAACTCAATCTCTAATAGTACAAGATTTAACCAGCAGGTCTGTGGTAAGATCATGGGTAATCGCGAATTGGTTTGACCTCCGAATAGGGATTTCAGTGCCGAGGGTTTTGATGCCAGCTTCCAATCGGTACAGTCCTAGAAGAATGTGAGTTAACTCATTTGATATATATGGAACGTGTTTTATGGAAATACCTTGTAGTAGTTATAAAAGAACTCGATGGCCTGCACACGACAATCGGTAAATTGGTATGCGATGCGCAGCATCCTATCCAGGAGGTACAGAACGTGCGGATTTTGTGCCCACCCGGGCAACGCAGTGAAGCAGTTCAGCCAAATATTGATAAGATTCAGAGGCGAGCAGAGGCCATAGCTAAAGCGCATGAATATACATTAGATGTCAATCAGTTCGATGTGGTAAATTTGTGACTTGCCTCGTATAAGACACAATCTGGTGATGCAGCATATTATCAAACAATTCGAGAATGGGGCCAATGGAATTGGCATAAACTATATCCTTGGCCATCTTCAGGTAAGTCCTGTCCGCATTTAGCAGCGCTATCACCAGTTTCTGGAAACTGTAATCAGATAGATTTTAGCATCATTATTATTGGTAGTCTTCATACATTGCATACCTTTCGCAATTTGCTAGCGTGTCGGGAGTTTCGAGGAAGAGCGGCACAATCAGCTCGAGACTGCGTATGACAGCCGCATGGCGATGATCGTTGAGCAGCTGTTGAAGCAGCTCGAAGCCACGCTGGCATATAACTGGTATTGAGTGACCATGCAGACTAACCAAGACGCTGACATATAAGGCCAGGGGACGTTGCTCGGTAACACCCTGCCAAATCATATCCAGGCGCTCCAAGTCCGGCACAAAGAGCAACGGCTCCGTGGGATGCTGCAGCGTGCGCTTAACAGATTCAACACTCTGATCCATCAGATGCAGACGCAACATAGAGATCATACGCCAGCACCAGTTGGTAAATTGCTCTCGGCTGGATTGGGTCGAGTCGATCAGCGAGGAGACTTGCCGCACGCTCTCAGATATGCTGGAGGCACCAATGACGTCCGGCGCATGCTTAGTTATGGCTTCAGTCACGAGACAAGCCATGCGCACGTGAATATTGTGGGGCAAATAAAGACGACCCTCGTCATCGAAGCCCCAATTGAGATGGCCAATGATCAGTCGCGCCAAATGGCTCTCAGCGGTTTGGTAATCAAAGTGAAGCAGCCAGTTGGATAGTAGCTCAAAGCTGTCCATGTTTGGGTGCCAGTTCTCTAACGGCAGAGCTTTGAATAGGTATGCTGCCTGATCGATCTCAGCAAAGCGCGTCTTCAGCTGCAGCAGCAGGCAGTCCAGTAGCTCCTCATAAGCGAGAGTGATATTTACTAGCATATCTCGTGCGGCTTTGTAGCAGAACTCGCGAGTGGCTTGATGAATGAATCCAATCTGTGGGTGGTTGAGAGTGCGATCTAGTAGAGGACTGGAAGGAATCCTGATAACCTACCTGGAATATGGTCAAACAAATGACGCGAATTATCGGCCAGTCTTTCGTGCGATCACGCGCATTGGCCATCTCGAAGAAGGCCTGCAGCAGATAGTACATATCCTCGGCCGACACATCTGCATTAGCTATATCGAATTTGCTCCAGAAATCCGTTTGAAATATGAACTCCGGATCAGCGGTCAGCTGGGTGGTCAAATCGCTGGGAAAGCCAACGTTGAGGTAGTAAAACAAATGCCAAATAATATCTGCATGAAGCGTTGTGTAAGGCAACGTGGAGAAGTACTGCCAGGTGCCCAAATTGCGCGAGCGATAAATGTAGCTGCAGGCGCGTATAAGTAATGCCTGCATTTCCAGCTCGATGCGTTCACAAAGTTCTTGGGGCTTGGCCAGGTTGTTGCTCCTGCAAGGGATAATGAAATTATACGTTTAGGAAAACCAACTGCCAGGTTAACTTACAGGAAGAGCTCGTGGTAATCGGAGGCATATTGCAGCGCGTGGCGAATCAGGCGCCCTAGACGCTTGGCCAGCTGCTTGTAGCGCTCGTTGTTGTAGGTCAGCATGCCCTCGCCCAGTGTCTCGACTAGTTGTGCGAAAAAGGCCACCACAGTGAGCATCTGCTGAGGCGTTATCATGTCTGGCTCAATGATATAGTCATCCAGGAATTTCTCGATGCACATGGCGGAGCTGCAAGGCAGGTGAAGGAGTTGCCTACATTTTGAATATATGACTAACTCAGTGCAGATCTTACGTAAAGAGCTTGTCGAAGGGCAACTGATTGAGCAGGGCTATTAGATCGGCTTCCTTGAGGCCAACACATTCGCCCGTGGGCGTGAGTGTGTCCTCGCCATCCGAGTCCACCACTGTCCATCGCTCAGCGTCTCCCGTTGGTTGCGAGAGATCCCTCTGCGCCTGCACCTGACTCTTGAGATAATCGTTGCGCTTTTTAATGGGCAGCAAAAGGATTTGTATCACCGCAAAGCAATGATTGATTTCTGGGGAATTCAGTGGCAGAGGCAGCTCACTGGGCTGGGTGCCCTTAGATTTTGGGGTTGTCTGTATCATGCCCGGTATCTGCAGGAACTCTGCTGCCCAGGCGCCAACGCCGTTGGGGCAGCGCAATATATTAAAGAGCAAAAACCAGTGATCCTCCTTGGTGGCCAGCAGCAACTGCAGGGCAATCAGCTTGCGCAGCCAAAGCTTAAGGTCTGCATCGAAGTTCTGAATGGAATTCATCAAAAGAATATTTTAGATCATGGACATTTCAAGCAATTGTCATAGGGTAAATAAATACCGCATTTGGGCTGGGGCGTCGTGCAAAGTTGAAAAGGATGCAAATCGCACGTCTTAGCTGGGCGACGCACTGCAGAGCAGTTGCATCCAATTGGTTGTGCAAGACGATGGATGCTTGGACATCGATATGAGGATATGCGATCAGCTCGTTGATAAGCTGATCGATTTTCACTTTAGTTAGCTTCGCTGTAATCAAATTGGTGGTGTAGGTATGGCAGACCAGATCGTAGAGCCCTGTCAATGCCGCTGTGGCAGACTCCAGCTTAACGGGATCAACTTTGATGCGACTGCAAAGGCCAAAGGAATTAGTATCTGGATTGGTTGAGTGCTTGCCACTTACTCGTAGGTCACGCTTTCCCGGACAACGTTGCCGTCGCCGCAGCTGGCGCTAAAGGTGCGCGTCACTGGCTCACGCTTCCAGACCTGCTGTTGCGTTTCGAGACAATCCCTGCGCTTGTCCTTGATGTCATGCAGATTGGATGAAAGTTTGCCTTGGAGATCGTAATACTCTTGCAGTGCAACATGGAGCGGATCTGATTCACTCGATTCGAGCAGCGTGTTCATTAGGAACTCCAATTCGAATTGCTTGACCAGTTCCAAGTCGCTGCATTGATAAATTTGCTTCAGCTGCTCGCTGGTGAACGGTTTTAGATGGCTGCTGGCCAGCGCAAAGCCGGGCGAGCGTGGCCCTCGCTCCTTATAAACAATCTGCGTCTTCTGCTCCTCGATGAGTGCATTGGTAATGCGTATCGGCTGCAGATTGGGATATTGCACTAATGGAGCACTGATAACTGGTGCGATGGGTGCACATGGTGCTGTAGGCGTCGGCTCTGGTTCCTCCTCTTTAACTTCCGACTCTTGGGTATTTGTTGTCGTTGCCGTTGCTGCTATATCATTGGGCATTGGCACTGTATCACTTGATATGCCACAGTCATGACTAATAATGTCTTCTGCTTTGCTGTTGCTGCTGCTGGCCAATGCAGCAACGCGCTCGAATTCCTCCAGCAGCGACGCATTTTCTAGCTGCCTTTGTTCGGGGACAATACTTGTTGATAAGTCACTAGTTGCTTCTCCTTCTTCTTCTTCCTCCTCCCTGGATTGTGTGCGATCGTGGATTGCCTTTTGCTTTTTAGCTTTCTACAATTTATTCTTATAGTATATAGATTTATAAAATTGTTATTGCATATATACATACGGTTTTTTTTGGCTTAGCCAAAGTAGCCATATTTAAAAATGAATTAGATACGTATGTATTTGCTCAACTTGCTCTGACTTTTTGCGTGTTTTGCATTTCGTTGCGCCTCTAACAATAAAACCCCCTACAACTTGCTGATTGTTATTGTCAGTGATGAGCAGGCTTTATTCTTTCGGCTAAATTTTCCAACTAAGAGAATGCTTATTGCATAAGCTTTTGACTATATTTGATTGTGTTCTTTTGTTACGACTTTGCCATTAATTGGAATCGCAGTGTATATTTTATATAAACTGCTGTGTTTTTCTTCAATATTCGTAAAGATGTAAGATCTTAAACCAATGGACTTAGCTTTCATCGGGCTAACAAACTTTCGCCGACACTGTTGCTCAACAGCTGTTTGTGCAACAGCTATCGATAAACAGCTGATCCCATGACTGCGATGGGCAGCACTGTATGTAGCGATTGGCAGCATTTCCCTTAACGAAGCACTTATTTGGCGGTATATTTGAAAATGTATTGTAACGACTATGTTACAAACTGAGATTAAAGCAAATAAAAAAATCAAAAGATCAAAATTTAATAATTTGAAATTATTATTATTTTTTTAAAATATATTATGTTAAGTTAAAATTCTTCTTTTTTTGCACTTGCTTACACATACATAAGTACATAGACATAAACTGGTTTGCTACATTACGCATTCATGGAATATCTCTCAAAGATATTGCAGATGCGCAAATCTATACTCTTGTACAATAATCACAGCATCTTTATCGACATTCTGCACAGAAGGTGCATGAGTAATTCCCCTCATCAATTATTCTACGCTTTGACTTAACTTACAAATTATGGACTATGTATATCGACTACATTTTCATTTATATATATGTATATGTGAATTTCCGGAGGGTTTTAGTAAATCTCAGAACGTCGTCTTTGAGCCAAGCTGCCGATAAACTCCCGTCTCGCCGGAAGGAACTGTATCCAACTGAATTCTGCTCACATTGCAGATGGAGTTGCGCTGCTCCTCATTTGATGAAGAGTTGGTAAAAATTACAGCTATGGGATTCGTCTTATTCTTTCCTTGTAACTCGTTGACATCGAAGGCGTGATTGACCTTCTCTTCCTTGCAATTGGTGGTCGCTGAGGAGTTGCTGCTGCTGCGTCTATTCAGYCCAGATTCCTCCTCGTGCTTAATGTAGTACGGCTTGGGCACATTCAGGCGCTCGTAGCAACGGAAGATGATCGGGTGCAGCAGCTTGGCATCGTATTCATCATCCGAGTTCTGGGTCAGGCAGCTGATCAGTGTGCCAATGAGTACCGTCAGGGCAGTTCCAATCAAGCTGTAGTACATAAAGCTGATCGAATAGAATGTCTCCATGGCATTTCTAAAACCAAAACAAGATTAAGTCATCTAGATTTGTATATATATATCTATCTGTCTATCTACATACCGCTCGTGTGCAATTCTGGGCGTTGGATCAATGAAGGTCTGATTGTAGCCATCGACTGGTGTGTGTTTCAGTAGCCAGGGCAGTTCATCTAGTCCACTGCTGGGCTTCACAATCGAACTTGCGAAGGTCGAGTTGGAGCAGCCCTAGAAGATAAGAAATTCTCAATTTAATTATGAATTCCTATCATAGAGATCTCTGCACTCTTACATCTGTGGAAGTGGGCAGCATGGTGGAGGGCTTGTCTATAGTCATGCTGCCGCCAATTATCCATAGGACGAATGCGCATGCAGTTATCATGCCAGCGGATGTGCCCTTCCAGTTGGCCACAGGCACCATCATGGCCAAGATGAAGCAACCGAGCAGCGGGCCCGAGGTGGCCGAGAAGACCAACAGCGAGGACTCGATGACGCCGGAGAGCAGGCCCACTCCGAAGGCGACGCACATGATAATCAGTCCACATATAACCGTCACTATTTTGATTATTCTCAATTGTTGCTTGTCGCCGAGTCCCTTGAATCGCGGGAGCTGTGATACGAAATCCTCCCAGCAAACTGTGGCAAGAGAGTTCAGATTCGATACCATCATGCTAGAGAAATATTTTAGAATCATTAGCTTAAGCACGCTTATCGTAGTCCATCAAAGACTTACCAGAGTGCACCGTTGAATAGGGTAGCCATAAAGATGCCCACAAAGCCGGGCAGATAGCCCAGTTGATCCTCAACGAAAAAGGGCAAAATCTCATCGGGTTTCTTAATGTAGCCCTCGGCATACGGATCGCAGCTGATGTATGTGGAATATATGACCATGCCAGAGATCCAGGAGAGCGCAAAGAATATAAAAACAACGGGCACGTTGCTCAGCATGACTCTAAAAGGAAATTAATTAAAAACATATGATTTTAATTTATGCCGACAATGAGGTTTAATAATCGGCTTCGCATAAAGCATAAGTCGATAAAATGAATTTTTATGACTTTAAATGATGATCGGTCTCAGTCATGGATGTCAGGTGTGGAGCAGTGGAACTGTAGAGCTGTGGAGTACATATATATCTACTCTAAGTATTTATTCTAAGTAAATCCTCTAAGTGTTTCCTCTAAGTATTTCCCCTAACTGTTTCACATGAGTTTCCTTTAACTATGTATTTCTTCTAAGCATTTCTTCCAAGTCTTTAACGCTTAGCTGAACGATCACATACTTCACTTCACTTTACTGCACTGCACGACCGACCCCCACCAGCCTTTTATATAGGGCGACGTTCACTCAAAGCCGAAGTCGTGCTCAAATGTTGAGATCGGTGCTAGGTAGAGGTTGTTGCAGTCGAGCTTTAAGTGACCAATGGGAGCACTCTCTGCTGCTGCAAGAAGTCTAGCTTCGTTTTACTCAAGTATAAATACCAAATGGTTACTGTTGAATACAGCTTATTATTCTTTGTAGTTCTCTTCCTTTTCTTATGCAGGGAGACAGATGGAGGGACAGACAAAGAAGCAGATATACAGTCAGCAATACGATCATATATATAGACGGCCGGAGAGACAGATATGAAGACACACATACTAGCAGATATATAGGCAAACATAGACGCCCAGTTATATCGGATTACCTCATTGCGCCTTAAGGATATACATGCATGCTTGATAAGGCAGAATATTGATATGCTATAAAGCTTATGTACATTAAAATTTATAACTCTTTGATGACATAGAAAGTTCTCTTAATGGCTGGGACATTTTAATACAGTAGTTTGCTTTAATTTCTGACTATTCCAATTCATACATTTTTATTATCAATGGGCTAGATCACTTTCTAGATCTAGCCTGAAATCGGCTTAACTGGCGGCACTGCTCTCAATAGTCGTATATGAATGAGTTTTATGTTTTATGTTTTTTTTTTTTTNCAATTAGTAAAAAGTAAAGTAGGAAATAAAAATAATATGAAGTCCATGGATAATTTCTATAGTTTCCAAAGTGTTTAGAATTTTAATGTATTAAATATTTAAGTTTTAGTTTTTATTTTGATTTATACGAACCTTCGCACTTCCTTGAGAGACTTCAGACTGACGTAGCGCTGCATAAAGTTTTGCTGACAGCCGATCTGTGAGAGTGACATAAACAATTGACCCAGCCAGGCGGAGGTGGTATCGACGCGCACTGTTACGTCCCCGGTGAAATTCCAGAAGTTTAAGCGGCCTATGGCATAAGGAGAAAGAAAAACAGAGCATAAGATGAAATGCGCATTGAGCATAAAAAAGTTGCATGGCTTGCAAAATATTTATTTCTATGGCAACAATAGAAAAGAAAAGAAAAGAAAAACCGTCGTTTGTGTGTGCTCAGTGCACTTGCATTGCATCGAAGGTGTATGTAAATATATATGCATGTAAACTATTACATACATATGTATGTGTGTGTGTGTGTGTGTGGTTTTCTATGGCTGGCCATGTGCTTCGATTCCCAAAGCGCTTAGCAATTGTTAGAGCGACAGCAAACGATTCTAACTGAAGTGACAAACGCTCTGCCGCCACACATTTATTACAGTCGTCACGCATTCACATTGTAAGCTGCTGCTGCTGCTGCTGCTGCGGCTTCTGCTGCTGCTGCTTCTGTTTTATATGCCGTTTTTATCATCATCATTTATGTGCATAATGAGCCGACGCAACGTAAAATGGATGCCATTTTAATAGTCATCATTCGTCAGCATAAATATGAAACTGCCACAGACACACACACACACACACACACACGAACAGTCACACACACGCGCAGTTTGACAGGCGACGCTAATAAGCTGCCATGATCAATCGGAGCAGCCAGAGTATCCTAAAAGAGAAACTGATTGCTTACCATTATCGCGGTTCAGCTGGTAAACCTTTTTGGGGCCGCCGCTAGAGATTGTGCCCTGTATGCAGACCGCCACTGTGACCACCAGTATGGTGAGAGTCTGGATGACGTCAGCATTGATGGCTGCTTTAAGGCCACCCTAGATAACGAAAAAATGGAAGAAAAACAAAAACAAACAGACTGAAGCTTGAAGGATATCACAGCTTAACTAAGCCCTCTCAGCTACTTACCAGAATGGTGAAGAATATGCAGATGGCCGACATGCCCAGTATGGAGGCCCAGTAGGGTATGCCAATGACCGCCGATAGCGCCACACTGGGCGTGTATACGGTGATGCCCAGATTACAGATTTGCCGCACAATGTACGTGGCCGAGGCGAGACAGCGAACGGTGCGACTCTTGAATCTGAAATTGAGCAGCCAAACGGTTTTGCGACAGGTGAGTGCACGCTGCTTAACAGGTAGCTGGTAGCTCGATTTACAGCATTAATTAAGCCGCAGAAAACAGAAAACAGAAAACAGCTAACGGCAAACAGAAAACAGCAAACTGGAACGGTAACGGTAACGGTAGCGGGAACAGGAACTGAGAGTGAATGAGGGATAGGAAGTGGCCCAATGCCTGGCCTCTCATTTATTTACTTTTATTAGCTGCGTTTATTAAAGTTTTAATGGGCTTGGCCTTTTTTATGTGTGCGTTCACTTCGCCTGCTCGGCTTTGTTTTTGTTGTTGCTTTATGATTTACTGCAGCTGTAAAATGAGGGCGCTCACAATAAGTGGGCGTGGCCGCTGCCGCTGCCGCTGCCACTGCTGCAGCTCAAGTTTCAGCAATGCCGCAAAATTTACGACACGCCCAAAAAGAGGCTGAGTCGCAGCGAAATTGGCGAGTTCGTAACTCGTTTTGATTGTTTTTATAGTTGTGTCGGCTTTTTATGATGCAGCCAAGGCACATGGTTATAAAATTATATATACGTGTATATGTATGTGTGTGTGTGTGTGTGTTAATTTGACGTAAAGCGCGCGACAAGGCGCCAAGTGACCCGCCCAAGGAGGCATCCAGTTACAGCCACCTAATGATCGCTCCGTATGCACGCGCCTGTGGCACGCGTAATGAACTTGTTGATGTCCCCATTATGAGTACGGCCCCGCTCTAGACATTTATGACTGGCCCCAGCGGGGCTGTTGGATGCACGACCTGATTACCGTAGAAACTATACTATTATTACTGCAAAAAATAGGATATAGCTGAGAGGCTATAATCTATAGATTTACAGTGCTGCAAATGAAGGTCTGAGATAAGGGACTTTAATTAGGATCCCTCTTTGCAGCTAGAACTTGAGCTGATATTAAAAAAAAATATATA